GAGGTGGAGATTCGACTGCTCCATCTGAGCAGTGAGGTCAGGCACATGTTTTTGTCTGTCTTATCTATGTGGAGAAGAGAGAGTGTGTGTGTGTCTGTCTGATGTCTGTGCGTCAGTGAGTGTGTGTGTGTCTGTGTGTCTGTGTGTGTGTGTGTGTGTCTATCTGTCTGTCTATCCATCTATCTGTCTGCCTATCTGTCTGTCTATCCATCTATTTATCTGCCTATCTGTCTGTCTATCCATCTATTTATCTGCGTATCTGTCTGTCTATCCATCTATCTGTCTGCCTATCTGTCTGTCTGCCCATCTATCTGTCTGCCTATCTGTCTGTCTGTCCATCTATCTGTCTGCCTATCTGTCTGTCTATCCATCTATCTGTCTGCCTGTCTGTCTATCCATCTATCTGTCTGCCTGTCTGTTTGTCTGCCTGCCTTCCTACCTCCCTGCCCGCTTCCTGCCTGCCTGGTTCTTCCCTTCGCGCTCCCCGACTTTCTCCTTGTCCGTCTGCAACAGCCGCATTGCATGGCCTCACGCCTTTACGACGTGCTTGTGCGTGCACTCATCGTCTGCAGCTGCTGCGCCGGACCGTATTGGAAGAACTCACCGCTCGAGGAAAGGTGTGCATCTGTTGCACTGCCAGTGGGTTCTTCTGTGTTTGGGTTTCTTTTGTTGGGGCTGTTGGGTTTGGTGCATGTGTTTGCTTGGTTCTTTGCGCTTGTTTCCTACCACTCCTGTCCCTGTCATTGGTTGACTTGCGACATGTGTTTCTCCGTGTCAGTCAGGCTCACTTACGACGCGTGTCTCCCCTCTACGCATGAACCCATCATTCATAGGCTGATACTGTCAAGTGCAACAGCGTCATCTTGGATTTTTATCTGTGGGACTTTGCCAAGGACAATGCCAGCTCGCTCGCACACGTGCCCATCCACCACACGCGCTCCATCTTCTACTGACCGCACGTGGCCATGCGAGACGTGGGTGACGATGACACTAACATCCATACGGTGTAGCTGTGAACGGGAGTGCATCTGACAGATACATGCTGCGTGCTGCGTTGGCACAAACACAAAAATCCAACACCCACAGCAGACAGCTGCACGACGCGGTGTAAGCGACACGATAAAGTATATTCGGTCATTTTCTGCCAAATCTTTTGCAAATCTTCATCATCCAAGATGGTTGGTTTGGACGGTTGAGCAAACAAAAGCAAAGCGAGTGGACCGGCCGGCAGCGGGGGTGTCTGTATGGGGGAATGGTGGACACGACTGCTGCTGATGCTCCTCCTCCTCCTGCTTGCGGGGAGTGGTTCAAGCTGTTAGCGAGCGCGTTTGTTTGTTTTTCGTACATTGTTGGACATTGATGCGTCCTCTCCTAATGGTTGCTGTGTTTCTTGCAGGCGTCTCTCTACACGGTGAAGGGCATCCTGATCCTGGACAACGATGGCAACAGGGTGCTGAGCAAGGTGAGAGAGGCGCGTGCGACACACTGTTGGTACTAGCTTCATGAATTGTGTCCATGACCCTGCATCCCCTTGCTCTCTTAATCTGTGTGTGCGCATGGCTGACGATTGCCGAACTGTCTGCGTGATACGAAACATTGCTGCTTTCGCTGCTGTCGCTGCTGTCGCTGCTGTCCCTGCGCACAGTACTACGATGACAGCATGCCCACGGTGAAGGAGCAGCGAGCATTTGAGAAGAAGCTGTTTCAGAAGACCAACCAGTCCAGTGGTGAGCCACGCATATTTGCGGTTTGTGCTCTTCGTGTCGTTTTCGATGGATTCGACATGCACTAGCGAGCGCTTACTGTGTGTGCTGATTGGTGCCGCTCAGCTCACTGGTTTGTGTCCTGTGCATGTGTGCGGACGCATGTGCGCATTGTGTTTACACAGCGGAGATTGTCATGTTTGAGGGCATCACGTGCGTGTTCCGAAGCAACATTGACCTCATCTTCTACGTCTTTGGCTCATCACAAGAGAACGAGGTTGGTGTGGGAGCATTGTGTGGGTTGGGGTATCTGGTTCGTGTGTGCGTGTGTTTTGTGTGTGTTTGCGTGCGTACGCGTATGTGTGTGTGAACGTGTTTTGTGTGTGTTTGCGTGCGTATGTGTATGTGTATGTGTATGTGTTTGTGTATGTTTACAACGACCATGTGTGCATGGTTGACATCGATTCGTGGTGTTGTTAACAATGATCGTTAACCTGCTGTAGCTCCTGCTGGCAACGGTGCTCAACACACTCTACGACGCCATCAGCATCGTCGTCAGGTCAGGAAATACTCGCTGTGTTGCAAGACACATCTCCAGCCACATTTGTATGACCCTTGCACATGCGAGCACGCACATGAGCGCTATTTGCGCACGTGCCCGCATACACACGTGCACTTGCTCATACACATGTATATACACGCGCGCACACGCACACACACACGCACACACACACGCACACGCACACGCACACACAACATCTTCCCTTTTGCTCCCCTTGCCGTTTCCCTGAGCAGAGAAAATATTGAGAAGACAACAGTGCTGGATCATCTTGATGCAGTCATGCTCATCACAGACGAAATTGTGGACGGCGGGTGCGTTAACCATCGCGCTGTTGTCGCCGCTTCACAACCGCTCGCAGCAACCGTGCCGTTGTGCCAACTCCGCCCCCCGCCCTTCCTTATGCCAAGCGCTCTGTCCAAGCTCACATGCCAACGAACTACACACAACCACACGCAAACACACCACACACAAACACACACAACTACACCAAACACACCAACACCATGCATGCGTGTGCGTGTGTGTCCAGGATTGTGCTTGAGGCCGATCCGGAGACGCTGGCGGTAAACGCGACCATCAGCAGCCGCGACGAGGGCCCAATCACCGAACAGACACTCGCCCAGGTGCGTGTGTGTGTGTGTGTGTGTGTGTGTGTGTGTGTGTGTGTGTGTGTGTAGATACGTGGTGTAGGGGTGTGTGTGTAGATACGTGGTGTAGGGGTGTGTGTGTAGATACGTGGTGTAGGGGTGTGTATGTTCCCGTCATTCGTGTTTTTGAGACTTTTCCCCCTTGTCTGTGCATGCGCTCCGGACTTTGGATTGTGTATTGCCCGCCAGCGGACGTCATGTACTCTTGCACATAGTTGGTTATCACGACGCTCATACACTTGCATGCACTGGTACGATGACTTGTTCCCCCTCGCATTGCCGTCATCGCCACCACGGCAGGCGTGGAACAAGGCTGGCGACATTCTGAGGCGACACCTCTCGTAACTGCATATTGCATGCAAGCACGCGCGCACATGCGCGGGCACAGCAACAACGGTGGATATGGCGACGACGACAGCAGGAGTGGTGATGATGGCGATGATGATGATGATGATGATGATGATGATGGTGATGATGATGGTTAGTTGAGCGCAGCTGCGTATGTGTCGTGGAGCGATTTGATGAGCGGAGTGGCGGCGGCGAAGGAGAAGCCACCCAGTTGACTCAACCGAAGCATGTCCTGGTCATCAGACAAGTCGTGGTGGTGGTAGTGGTGCGAGGTGATTGGTGAGAAAAGATCCGTGTGTTGGGGAAGGGGTGTGTGCGTGTGCGTGTGCGTGCGTTTGTGCCTGTGTGTGTGTGCGTGTGTGCCCGCGAGTCTGTGTTGATGCTGTTTTGAGTATGCGATGTGGGTCATTTGGCAAACGAATAAACACGTTACCGCTTCCCTCACCCCAGAAAAGCGCCGTTCCTTTTCAACAACAACAACTCACTAACACACACACACTCACTCACTCACTCACACACTCACTCACTCACTCACTCACTCACTCACTCACTCACTCACTCACTCACTCACTCACTCACTCACGAACACACACCTCCTTTACCCCTCCCCTCCACCTTCATCCACCGCGATGACGTACATCGAGATACGTTGGCGGCTGGACAAGAATGCTGTCCTGTAAGTGTTTGAGTGCAGCCACGCACGTGGCAAGGGCAAACGAAGGGCCAATCACAATGCTTGCAAGCACATACAGCACGACCTGCGGTAAATGGGTGGAGGGGTTGGTTGGTTTGAGCCATAAGAATCAACCGATGTGTCAACTGCCTGCACAACAACTGCCTGCAAGCAACAATGCACGACAGCAACTACGATACAGGCTGTGCTAACCTCCTGCCAGTCAAGATAATTCCAGAAAACTTGCTCGAGCCAGAGCGAACACACGTGGGACGTACTCAACCTGCGTTGGGTGCAAGCGGACGGGAATGGCATCGTAAGCGGTCGCTCCGATACTGCACAGGCAGAGGTAGGAGGGAGAGGAAGAACAACTCACGTCCCCGCCGCAAAACACACACGCACACACACACACACGCACACGCACGCACACGCACACACGCAACATACACACACACGCACACACGCACACACGCAACATACACGCAACATACACACAACACACAACACACAACATACACACAAGCTCACCCTGCCAAGCGAAGAGCGGTGTGAACCTGCGGTGTAAACACCTCACACGCGTGCTGGATGTGCTGTGACAGCGCAGTGCTGTATGCCGTGGTGGACTGTGGATGGAACCAAAGGTAACGTGAGCACGGAGCACGTGACAGCTGTTGCAGCAGGTGCGGTCCTGTTCCTGGCCCACTGAGCAGCATGATCGTGGACACAAACCAGTCGCTGCACACGTCCGTCTCGTATCGGTTGCGCAGCTGGCGCAGTGCTTCGTCATCTGTGCACGCCTTGGCGTCCGTGTGCGGGCTGTGCTGTGCACATGTGCGCATGTGCTTGCTTGCAAGCAATGCAGTTGTGTACGCATCCACCTCGTCATCCGGCACCATTCCACACCGTCTGCCATAGTCAATGCTCAGCGTCACCCACGCATCCTCTCCACCACCACCATCACCAGCACTTGCACACGTGCATGGACAAACGGGCTGCTTTCGCTGGTGTTGATTTTGCTGTTGATGTTGCTTCTGCTGCTGTTGTGTCGACGTGTTTCCCTCACCATTAGCACCACCTCCGTCATCACACTCACGATCACCGCCACGATCATCGTTGTGCGTGGAGCAGATCAGGCCGACTGCGTGCTCCAGCACATGCGACACGTCCTCACGTCTCTGTGCAATCCACCGCCCGCCCCCACACCGGCACTCCTGCAGCAGCTGCCACATGCACGACTGCAACGCACCCAGTGTTGCCGTGCTGCTGCGCACATGTGCAAGCATGGCGTCGAACGCTGGTGGCGTGGAGACGGGTGTGCGGTCGATTGGATTGGAGAGATAGCACGATGGGATGCCGTCAACGAACAACTCGGGAAGCGTGGACGACGACAACAACGATGCCGGGGGTAGTGGTGATGATGGTGGTGATGGTGATGTTGGCGCTGCTGCTGTTGTGATTGCGGGGAGCTGTGATGGTGGTACTGTTTTTTCCGTTGGTCCTCCCACGCACAGGCACCAGACCTGGAAACACGTGCGTGGCGAGGGAAGGGGAAACAGTGAGGAATTGTGGGGGGGGGGGGGAGTGAGGAAGAAGTGAGGAAGAATTGAGGAAGAATTGAAGACTGGCAGCACATGCATCAAGCTATCTCAGCAGCAAGCTTGAACACGACTCCGACTGCGGCGCACACGTGCGCATACACGCACACATGCACACAAAATGCACACGAAATGCACACACGCAATGTTGCCTCACGCGCTGACCAGGATGCGATTGCGGAGGAGAGAGCGAGGAGAGTACACGACACCATGGGGTGATGTGTCGCGCTGTTGATGCTCTTGTACGCGTGTGAGGATGGCGTGCGTGTGTGTCAGCAGCACGCGAACAGAGAGACTGGACAGCATGGCGGCAATGATTCGAAGCGAATCTAACTCCGCCTGCATCGTGCATGCAGAATGCACAGCATGCAATGAGATGCCGAACGTACCGAGGATGTGGACGCATACGCAAGTGCACAACCTACACAATGCAGTGCCAGCCCATTGTAACACCCTCAACGACTCACCACCTACACAAACACCAAGCAGTCTCAGCGCTAACCTGGTGTTGCGAGCCCGTGAGGGACAAGCAGAGGTCTGGACTGGTGATCAGTTCCATGAGCCAGCGTTGTTTGCAGGCAAGCTGCTGTCGCACGGCGGCAGGCATTGTCAACACCTGCAGATGACATGTAAGGGTGTGTGTGTGTGTGTGTGTGTGTGTGTGTGTGTGTGTGTGTGTGTGTGTGTGTGTGTGTGTGTGTGTGTGTGTGTGTGTGTGTGTGTGTGTGTGTGTGTGTGTGCGGGAGGGGGGCATGCATCTGTCTGTGTGCAGAATAGTCGGGGGGCAATTCAGTCACCACACAATCACACGCCCGATCCAAGTTGTCCTCACGCCACGCCAACAGGCAGACCTTGATAACATAAGCAACGGCCTTGTCACGGGCGTGGGTATTGTCCGGGGAGAACGGAGGAAGCGGAATATCGCTGGACGAGTCGCAGTTGGACGCGAAATCCTGTTGCACACACACACACACACAAACACACACACGCACGCACGCACGCACACACAAACACACACACGCACGCACGCACGCACATACACGCCCATTTGATGGAGAGAAATTAGCAAAGAAGAGTCACGCATGCATGTGTGCAGGAAGAGAGAAGCGCACACACAGATACGCATCAATCACAAGCAACAGCAGCCAAGAGGACATTAAAACGTAAAGCAGCGCGCGCGCGTGTGTGTGTGTGTGTGCGTGTGTTTGTGTGTACGTGTGTATGTGTGTGTGTGTGTGTGCATGTGTGTGTCATGTCACACCGTGACGAGGCGGTCCACAAATCCGGCAGACTGGATGAGCTGAAATCCGTGCGCTGATGTTGAAATCTCAACCAACACGCTGCCATACCCAAATCGCTCCAGCGTACTCAACTGATGTGTGCGTGTGCGTGCGTGTGCGTGTGCGTGTGCGTGTACGTGTGCGTGTATGTGGTTGGATACAGGTGAATACATGTGCTGGGTATTGGGACACCAGCGCGCGGCCGGGACTGTGACGATTCCCGTGTTCACATCAAATCAGTAGCGCAGTCGGTCACACACCGTAAACGCGCACATCCATGACGGCCAACACAAACCAGAGAAACCAAAATCGATCCACAACCCATTTCATCCGCCTCACACCACCCTCTTCTTCTCTCACCTGTTTGTTGCTGGAGAATTTCACCAGCAGACGTTGCAAACATGTGCTCACGTGCTTGCATTGCATCAGGGCTTGCGCGCCAACGGGTGTGAGAGCGTAGTTGAGAATGGCATCCAAAATGATGTCTGACACCGTCGACCCGCACGCGTTGAGTGATGCAAGCATGTGCCAGCTAACACGCCCCCACACGTCGTGTTGCTGGAATGCAGTGAGTCGACGAAGCGCAAGCAAAGCCAGCTCCAATCCACGCGTGAACCATGGTTCCTGCTGGTGGTGCAAGCTCGCCACGAACGATCGCGCGAGTGCTGCCAGCACCAACGTCAACGTCGCGGTGGTCGCGGTGGTCGCGGTGGTCGCGTGATTGTGTGACTGCACTGCTGCTGTTGTTGACGATGGTGTCTCGTGTGTTGCTGTTGCAGTATCGGTGTCCAGTGACAGGGCGAGCATGTATGCTCGCCCTTGCTCTGTCATGCAGCACTTGGCAACCACATCCAACGCACCAACAACAACGCCAGCGCTCTCACCGTCAACAGCACCAGCACGTGCACACGCGACGATGGGCTGTACAACAATGCGCAGTGCATTTGACGACAACAAACACAGCTGTGTGTCGAGGTGCGCAGACGCGAGTGTTGCCAGTGTTGCGTGGGCGCGACGAGACATCAGCCGCCATGCGCGCGCACACCCTGCTGGCGAAGAAGTTGTTGGTGTTGATGATGACGATGGTGATGACGATGATGATGATGATGATGGCGATGATGATGGTGGTGGTGGTGGTGGTACTGATGGATTCGTGGTGGGTTTGGTTGATGTTGGTGTGCTGTTTGCTGCCTTGACTGCTGGCATCTGCATTGGGTTTGCAGCAGTGACTCGCGCCAACAGCTCAAGCGCATCTGACAACTTGAACGGAGACCTGAAATCGTGTGTGTGTGTGTGTGTGTGTGTGTGTGTGTGTGTGTGTGTGTGTGTGTGTGTGTGTGTATGTGTGTGCCAGTGCAAGTGTCTACGAGCAAAGGAGGATAAAAAAAAGGACAAACGAGAGCACACAACTTCAGCGTGCCGTTCTCATGCACGTGACGGACATACCAGTGATGTGTGCTGCCGTCATCACCATCATCAAATTTGCCACCACCACCGCCACCTTTGCTAGCATCATTGTCATTGATGGTGCGGGGGTGTCTTGCGACAATCGGAAACAGAGCGCGCCCCGGCTTTGAGAGACACAGCTGGCTGATGACACCTATGAGAGCGAGGAGGAGGTGCGGGTGGCGGTGGCTGTGCGGTCTGTAGACGAGCACATGCAGTGATGCAATCATGGACTGCAGCACGTGCGGATGATGGCGAAATGCGGACACAAACGCCGTTCGTCCAATGGTCGTGCTCGTCCACCTGCATCAAGCAGACGAGGTGGACAGGGGAGAAAGAAAATTGCGGAAAGAGTGAGGAAAATGATGCTTGCTTTTGTGTGTGTACTGTTGGTTGTGGTTTTATTGTCTTGTACTGCAAGTTGAGCAAGCATGTGAGCGGAAGCATTCTCACACGTTCAAATGCGCACAAACCTGACACTGGAGTGTGCTCACCTAACAAACCAGCGGGCGTGGGGGTCAAAGTGCGCCAAGATGCCTAGAAACGAGGCGTGCATGTTTCCCTGTGAAGTGAAAGGCCAACACAAATACAGACAGACAGTCAAATCACACACGAACACCAAAGTGAGCACGCATGCATGGTGGTGATGCGAATGAAAATGTCTGCGATTGTGATGACCAGTGAGCACATGCGTCGGTGCATGCAAGCACGCATTCAATGCTGCGTCATCACCTCATCGATTGCCAGCAGCGGCGTGAGCTGATCTGCCAAGTCGTTCACTGTTGCCTGTGAGTACCGCAGCCACACCCTGCAAGTACACACAAAATGACACACACACACGTGCGTTAAAGTGGACAAGCGAAGACAACAGTCAGATGGGTTTCTTTGAAGACAAACAAAGAGCACATCGCTGGCTAACATACACACACACATGTACGCACGCACGCATATACACACGCACGCATATACGCACACACGCACACACACACACACACACACACACACACACACACACACACACACACACACACACACACACACACACACACACACACACACACACACACACACACACACACACACACACACACACCTTGGCAGGGTGGAGAGAATCTGGAGCATGACGTGCGCGTCCTCAAACTGCTGCTGGTGCCGGTGCTGGCCCTGCTCCCGGCACCTGCAACGGGTGGTCGCGGTGGTCGTGAACGTGATGGAGGTGGTGTTGAGGATTGTTATTGCGATGGTGGTGTTTGCCGAGGTTGTGCGTGGGCTTGGTGTTGATGATCACTGTTTGAGCACATGGATGGGTGCATATCACACACATCCACATACAAGCCCCCCGCCCCTTCTCTCTCTGTCTCTTTCTTTCTCCGCTCCCCTCCGTTCTGCTTCGACAAACGTTGCGATGGTGCGCGCGTAGATGGTGAAGGCCTCGGTGTAACTGAGCACGTTGGACGGGGTCACGGCGTGGACAACAAACTGCCGTGCTGTTGCCGCTGCCGCCGCACTCGACGATGCCAGCATCGCCCTGCCATAATGATACGCGGTATGGTGGTGGTGGTGGTGGTGGTGGTGGTGGTGGTGGTGGTGGATGATGATGATGATCAGCAGGGCATCAGGAGTCCAAGACACCATTGACAACACCACCATCCATCACTCAATCACACCTCACCAATACCATGAACAATTGCCATCACCATCATCGCCACCGCCATAAGTCATCGCCGTACACTATGGACTGCTGCATGACGGGCCACTCTGCGAGCGCCGTGATCTCCTCAAAGCTGGACGACCAGAGGTGGTGCAGTGCCGCTGCTCGCTCCTCCATCGACAGCTGCGGCGATGTGACGGCTATAATGATTCGACGCAGCTCCCGTGGCCGTGGCAGCAGGCCCCACCCAGACGAGTCCATCTCTACCAAGGTATGGTTGTGTGTGTGTGTGTGTGTGTGTGTGTGTGTGTGTGTGTGTGTGTGTGTGTGTGTTGTGTTGTGTGTGTGTGTGTGTGTGTGTGTTGTGTTGTGTGTGATGACAAAGAGTCGTCGTCAACAACAACAAGACACGCCCAACACATGTCACGGCGCTCCAGCAACAACAACAACAAGACACGCCCAACACATGTCACGGCGCTCCAGCAACGCAGCATGATGCGTGTGCTGTCTGACCCATTTGGTGGATAAAGGCGTCGAGTTGCGACATGGGTTCTGGTGGCAGTCCCTCCATGCCCGCCCCATTCGCAACTTGTTCCTCCGCAGATGCAACCAGGGTCTGTTCGCATGCAGTCGTGGTGGTGGTGGTGGTGGTGGTGGTGGTGGTGGTGGTGGTGGTGGTGGTGGTGACCATGAGGGTGTGGCAGTAAGCGCGTTGACTCGACATGTTAGGTCAGCTTCGATGAAAAACTCAACAAAGGTGCAAGCGGAAAGCGACAAGCTGCGAGTGGACACACACACACACACACAACACACACACACACACAAAACACAAAACACACACAACACACACAACACACACATTCACACCAGACCTCCGAGGCGAGCTTCAGGTTTCGCAGGTACGCCATCTTGAAGGCCTGGAACCTGGCAGCCACCAACACAGACATGGCCATGCAAGCAAGAGTGAGCAAGGTGGTTGGGTTTATTCCCAATCATTGTGGCCATGGACAGTGCTGCACAGTTCAGCACAACACATGCACCTGTCAGTGATACTGGCAACAACGTCTGATCACACTACTCTGAGCAACCCCTGCAAGCACTGAGGGCACGCGGCGTGGTGTGCCCACCTTTTCGATGTGAGGATGCCAGAGACTGCAGATGCGAGCTGCTGTGGGTCATCGCGGGCGCTGTTGCTGTTTGCGGCTTCCAGGGCAAACTTGTTGAGCCTTGAGAGCAGGTCACTGGTGACAGCATACCTGTTGCGATTAGCAATGTGTGAGCTGAACACAGCGTGTACGTCAAACAACAGTCGTAACACACATACACTGGGCGGCAATTACGCGCACACATGTACGTACACACAGAGCAAACACAGTACACGCACGCACATGCACTCGTACACACGCACTCGTACACACGCACTCGTACACACGCACTCGTACACACGCACACACATGCACTCGTACACACATACACGTACGCACTCGTACACACACACACAGACAGAGCACACACACGTACGCACTCCATCAAGCCCCCCCCCACACCCACACACACACACACAGACACACACACCTCACAGCACACTCACTGTGGGGTTGTTTGGTGGCTGCGCGTGTACTGCATGTGTGCCTCTGCAAGCAAGGCATGACAGTCCAAGTGGCTCGTCTGCGGGATGGACATGCGCCCGATGCGCGAGCGCACATGATCCGCGGTTTCCCGCAGCCTCCTCTCCAACAAGCCAGCATCCATGTCATCACCAGCTGCCACTGCGTTCTTGTCCATGTCCTGGCCGCCTTCCGCTCCTACTTGCACGCCGCCCGTCTGCTGCCACACCCATCTACACGCACCTTCGCGCGCGCTTGCTTGCCTACTTGCTTGCCTCGTGTGATGTGGTGCTGCTGCTCTTGGTTGTTTGCTCTGCTGTGCGCGGTCGTTGGTGACGACGGTGGTTTTGCCAATTGCAATCCTCAGCGTAGCAATTGGCAAGTGGCCACTCGTGCTCAGTTTAGTTCTTTGTCAAGTTTGTCAGCGGGGACGCGTATGTGTGTGTGTGTGTGTGTTTGTGTGTGTGTTTGTGTGTGTGTGTGTGTGTGATGTGTGTGTGTGTGTGTGTGTGTGTGTGTGTGTGTGTGTGTGTGTGTGTGTGTGTGTGTGTGTGTGTGTGTGTGTGTGTGTGTGCTTATGTCACATCATTTTTCACTCTTTCACTCTCCCTCCCCAGCTCCCGTTTGCCCTCTGCTCGTTGACTAGACTCGTTCTGCCAACTCCCTCCCCCCCCCCCCAGTCCCACCTGTGTCGACCCACCCTCGCTCTTGTGTGCTTGCAGGCAACTACTGAAATGCGCTGGGTGCGCTACGCTCCCTCGGACAGCTCGCCCTGAACCAAATCGTCACTGCAGAGCAAGAGCACTGGCACCGCCTTCTGGGCCTTGCTCTTGCCCTCTGCGAAGACAAGACCAAGGTGTGGGTGTGGGTGTGGGTGCGTTCTTCGAGTATGAGTGTGTGGTGATGAGCTGAGGAGCTGCCCGTTGTGTTGTTGCCCTTGCCTGTGCGCACACATGCTGCGGTGAGCTGAACCCTTGGGATGCATGTTGCATAGCATGTTGTATCAGACCCTGCTGGCCACGCTGACACCGACTGGACACGCAAAAGGACTTCAACGAGTACAGGTATCGCGAAACGCTGCACAAGGAGGTGGGCACATTCAAACTGTAAATGTGTACGCGCGAGAGCGCACGCGCGTGTGTGTATGCGTATGTATACGTATACGTGGGTGTATACTTCAGCGCCGTCCCGAGTGAGTGTGTGCCTGTGTGGGGGGGGGAGTGTGTGAGTGAGTGTGTGTGAGTGAGTGAGTGTGTGTGTGTGTGTGTGTGTGTGAGTGAATGAGTGAGGCTATCGGCACACAAACACACATGCACGCACATACACACACGCACTCGCACTTGTGCATGAACACTCACACACGCACACTAAGCACACCTGGTGTTCGTCTGCGGATGTGACGCAGTGTAGTGAACACGTCGTCAAAGGTGACAAGGTTTTGAAGCTGGTTTGTATTGTCGTAGGGGGAGAGGGGACAGACAAGTGGTTAACAGCCAAAGGATGAGCGTGGGCAGGAGGACAAAGAGGAGGGAGAGGGCGATAGGCAGACGCTTTGAAGGTTGGGGACAGTCGCGACCACACACACACACACACACACACACACACACACACGCACCTGGTGCAGTTGCAAGGTAGCCTGGCGCGGGTACGCGTTGACATTGCTGTTGATCGGAACGCGTTGGCAGCCATAGAACCACGTCCGTCATACACGAACGGGGTGAGCGTGCGATCATGTGGTACGTGCATGAACAGAGCAGCATCCACACCACTGCGGCGTGTTGGTGCCCGTTGCTGCCGTTGCTGCTTGAGCGTGTGGTTAAAGAATACCGCTGCGGCCTGTGGAAGGGGGGGGGGGTGCGCAAATGCAGGGGTGTGTGTGCGTGTATGTTTGCGTGTATGTGGCGTATGCATGTGGTGTGTGTGTGTGTGTGTGTGTGTGTGTGTGTGTGTGTGTGTGTGTGTGTGTGTGTACACCAACATCAACGCAGGTGCATGACAATGAAAATGAGTGTGCTCGCACAGCCAAGCATGCGTCACAAGCGAACAGGCGTGTGAACGAACGGACTCTAGACAAAACACACAAACAAAACAAACAAACAAACAAACAAACAAACAAAACAAACAAACAAAACAAACAACTCATCCCATCACAGACGCACACACATACGTACACACACACACAGACACACACGCACACACACAGATGAACACACCACGTGCGGGTAGCCGAGGCGTCAAAGGAAGCGACGGTCACGGCAACATTGAGGGAGGAGATGGTGGTGAGGCCAAGCTGGATGGTGTACTCGACCTGGCACCAGGGGCCGTGCAGCAATGGAGGGATGGTGTTGGCAGCAAGGCGCAACAAGGGAAGGCACACACAGAGGGACGGACGGAAACAAAGGGCGGAGAGAGAGACACGCGCATGCACACACAGCACATACATACACAGAGGCACAGCACACAGACACGCAGCACACAGCACAGAGACATACACGACACCTTTTGCACAGCGTTGATGCAGTGTTGGGTGGATGCGTTGTAATGGATGGTGCAATCACCATCACATCCACCTGTAAAGGCAAAGCAAGGCCGGGAAAATGCCATGCGAGGTCATGTGAAGTCACAGCACAGACAATGAGACACTCATACACACACACACACCAAACACTCCTCACACAACACATCACACACACAGACACATACGCACACAAACACTTCCACACACACACACACACCACACACAACACCACATCAGTTCCCCTTCCTCCCTCCTCCTTCCCAAGGTCTCGACTAGTGTATGCTGCCAGGACCGCGGTATCTGTCGGGACCGGCACATCAAGGTCGCCGCTAGGGCTGCACAGGCACATCAAGGTCGCCGCTAGGGCTGCACATTGCCCAAACACGCTCGGCATCGTCTGCCGCTGTGATGATACGGGTGGGATTGCGTGGTGCACCTCCCCTTCCTGCAGCGTGTCGGCGGGAAATGGCAGCGGTGTGAGCGTCGTGCTGTCCTGCATGAAGCGGTGTGAGCGTCGTGCTGTCCTGCATGATGTACACGATCCCGCCATACGTGACGTAAAACTGGAAAGGGTCTTGGCCTCCGGCGTGTACTGCAGCGTCTCGAGGCTGAAGGATATGGGGCGGGGGCGTGCAGCGTCTGCGAATGCCTGGAACGCGGCGTCATTGAGCGGCGTGCGCGGCTCTCTGAACGAGATGCGGTCATTTGTGTTGTCGACCAGCACGCACGCGATGCTGCTGTCCTCTGCTACTTGGATGGCCTGGTTCCTGCCCTCGTTGGTGACGAAGAAGTCGTCGTACACGCACCTGCGCCAGGGCTTGATGTCTGGCGTGTTGCAGTAGGCAAAGCGCACTTTCACCAGCGTCGTGCATGACGGATCACAGCAGCAGGTTGCGTCACACTCCGCCGCTATACTCAGCAAACGAGGTTGCGCATGGATGTCGGCTCCGCACCTGCGCAAACGCGGGTGTTCTTGTTGTTGTTCAAGTTGCTGACAGTGCACTTGTTAAGTTGCTGTTACTGCAGCTGTTGTGGTGGTCGTCGTCGGAAGAGTGATGGTGGTGGTGGTGTTCTGGGCAGTTGCGGGTTTAGCCATGAGCACAGCAGCAGCAGCAGCAGCAGCAATAGCGACAAGAACAGCCACCACAGCACCTCTGCGGCACATCGATGCACGTCGAACCATGGCCGTGCCCATACAGAGACAAGACAGAGACAGACAGTCCGCCGACGACAGTTACGCCCACAGCAAAGCAGACAACTGCTGTTGTCGAGGAATCATGAATATCATCATCATTTTTTCGCCTGTGGTTTGCCATTTTCCCTCGCTCGATTTTCAAAAACGAAACACCACCAACATCAACTGCTACCACCGCCCGCGACAAGACAACAAGACAATCGCAGACACTCAAGATGACAGCCGCGCAGGCTTCGACACCGGTGAGGCCATCTGACAAAGTGTGGTGGGCGATTGAGGGCTGAGCAAGCGATGGGGAGGGAGCCGTTCAACGTGCCTTGCAGCGCACGCAGCGTGTGCAACGGTGACGGCCCAGCATCACTTGTTGTCGAAGCACTCGCCTGCTAGCACAAATGCGCGCGCTTTTTGTTTCTCACACATGTACGCCTGCACACACACACACACACACACACATGATGCACGATGCAAGGGAGAGGATTCAAACAACAGTACCGCAATGTCCAGCTCTGAAAAGGGGAAAACCAAAGAGCCTGAGCTCATGACAAGCCTGTCGACAAACGACGTGAGTTATTGTTTGGGTTGTGTGCAAACGTGTGGCGATAGCCCGAGAGGGCGCGTGTATGAGTGTATGGTTATGTGCATGTACATGTGCGCACCTGTGTATGTGTGAGTGTGTGCACCTGTGTATGTGTGAGTGTGCACCTGTGTGTATGTTTACGTTTGTGTGTATATATGTGTGTATGTATGTGTGCATGTGTGTGCGTGTGCACTCGGAAACCATCATCAACACGCTCTTGGCGCCAAAATTGTGTACGTGCACACCAGCCATACTCTCACTTTGTGGGCACCTGCTGTACTTCATTCAATCGACCCGCCCTCTGTCCTTTCAGGCTGGCGTTCTTGCGCGCGCATATTTGCAAGCAGCAACAGACGAGTTCAACAACCTTTTGGGGGACGCTCAGCTAGGCCCCGACTCAGACTACCACACCTCTGTCGAGCAGATCAAAACAATCGCCGCCAAGTACGACCTCAAAGCCTCTCCTGTGTCACCAAAATATAAGGCAAAGAATTATGTCAAGAGCTTGCTGGAGGAGCCCTACACGCAAAACATCAAGAACCTGCTCCAGCAAGTCCGCAGTGTGCTGGATGAGAAAAAGCAGATACCAATGGACGACGTGGAAGACTTCCTTCAGAAGCTTGACAACGTGACACGCAAAGGGCTGTCCGAAGAGCAACGGCAGTTTCGACAAGGTGCGCCTGTCTCACTCTGCCTTGCATGTGCGGCTGCGTGACCAAATGGGCTGATGCTTGTGTGTGTGTGTGTGTGTGTGTGTGTGTGTGTGTCTGTGTGTGTCTGTGTATGTGTGTGTGTGTGCATCGGTGTTGTTAGATTACTGCGAGCGGCCCTGCGCTTGGGCACTCTGGTTGACTGACACGTTGCTTGCGGGTTGTTTTGAACTCATACTGGCTGTTTGGTGTGGTTCGTGGCAGCTTTGGAGTCAAGCGTAACCCCCAGCAGCGCTGCCAAGGAGAAGGAGAAGGACAAGGACTCAGCCCACAGAACAGTCTATGCGCAGCCGTTCTCTGCCGAGCTTCTCTGCCCCAACTGGCACCTGCACAACGAGGGGTTTCAACGGGCAGTCGATCAGGGCACAAAGAGGGGTAAGGTCATTGTCGAGCATGTGCTTGCTTGCTGTGTACACGTGCACATGTGAGCGTCCTTTCCACGAGAGAACGTGGCATGTGTGCGTGTGTGTGTTTGTGTGTCGGTGCTGATGCATGATGGTTGAGTCTTTGGCACTCGTGCGCGGGTGTGCTGGCACTGGAAGGGAATACCTCTCTGTCGCTCACACCGACGCTGCACCATGCATGCCCACCGCACTGCAGGCTTTGGCTTTCTCGTTCCGAAGCGAGAGACGCTCTTCAACGACCGTATGCAAGCGCCCCTCATCAGGGCGTGTGGTGATGCAAAAGTGGACGTCAAGAGTCACGCATCATTTGAGAGTGACCCCGCTGTTGTCGCCGACTATGTTGTGCGTCTGATGTCAAACTACTTCTTCTACCCGCTGTTGCTTGAGCTCAAGATCGATGACAGCAAGCAGACACAGGATGCTGCCAAGGCGCAGGTGCTGGAGTACGCATCACGGGCCATCAAGTCTGCGGGATCGCAGTGGCGTGCTTTGAAAGGGTATTTGTTTCCCTTTGCCATCACCGTCTGCGGGAAGAAGGTGTCCGTGTACGCGTGCACGCTGGGCGATGAGGTGCACGGCGACGAGGCCTTTCCCAGCGTTCTCCACACAAAACTTTGCGACACCGACGTGAGTTGCCACCGCATGTGCGAACAGAGAAGAAGGGTGTGCGTTGTGTGTGTGTGTGTGTGTGTGTGTGTGTGTGTGTGTGTGTGTGTGTGTGTGTGTGTGTGTGTGTGTGTGTGGGAGTGGGTGTGGGTGTGCATGTGTTTATTACAACAGGTCTCGCACGTGCATCTGTGCAGTTGCTGTCGACTGGCCGTTGCCTTGTATACTGCTAATCGTCGTTGGACGCTGCGCTCACATTGGTTTCCTGTGCTGTGGACTTTAGTTGGAGAAACTCGGGAATGTCATTGAGTGGCTGCTTGACGAAGAGCACATGGCGCATTACGAGAATATTTCCGCCATTGCCCAGGTACCCATAGCAGGCGTGATGTCGTGTCCTCCAGCTCTCTTGCGCTCTTGCTCGCTTGCAACACATTCATCATCACACATGTCCTGTGTACGTGTGTATGTGTCTTCTTTCTTCCGTTCAACAACAATTAACGATGCCACTCACCTTACACACACACACATACACAACCACACACCTGACACACACACACACACATCTGACACAGGGCCGTCTCTCCACCCTTGAGGAACACCCTAACGAGAATGGCAACGCGACCACAAGCAGCGCCAGCACCAGCGACAAGGAAGAAGCAGCCCAGTCAGAGTCCCCGCCGCCGCCGCCGCAGCAGCAGCACGCACAGGCACCAGGCACAAAGACAGCCACAGGCAAAACCAAGCCCAAGTCCAAACCCCCAAGAAAGCAGCAGCAGCGTCAGCAGGCAAAGGGAGACAGGCCCATAACTCGCAGCGTCTCCAGGGTGTCACAAACACGCGGCACCGGGCGTTCTGATTCGGGCAAGAAGAAGGCCCGCCCATCCACAGCACAGCGGCGTCAGCAGGCAGGCCGAAGCAGGAGCCCAACGCCGCCTCAACGGCAGCGGCAGCACGCACAGGCAGCAGGTTCCCCCACCACACCAGCAACAGTGCCCAAGCACACCAAGGCAGCCACCAAGACTGACACAGCAGACAGCAGCAAGCAGGAGCAGCATCAGCTTGCGGTCACCAAAGCAGCACGGGCGAGGTCTGCCAGAGTTGCCGCGAGATACGAGATGTGCGTCTTCAAAGGCGGCAAGAAGACTGTGTCGGTTGCACTGGTTAACGGCGAGGTGTTGAAGGTGTGCGGCGGCCACGAGATTGGCGCTGCCAATGAGGCTAGCAACGAACGGAAAGGCTGGCAACACGTCTATCCAGAGGAACCGGTGAAAGTGCACGAGCGGTCACGCCCCGTGTTTGCCTGTCCCGACCTATCGAATCATATAACGGTCGAGAACGTCGAGAGCGAGGACATGGACGACGGGCAGGTGCTTGAGGCCGCTGCTGAGTACCTCCTCCGCTTGTCGAAAAGGGATCTATGCCACTGCGACATTCGCTCGCACAACATCCTGCGCAACGGCTGCATCGTCGACTTTGGTTTCCTCCATAGCCCTGTCAGTGACCCTGAACAGAAGAAGAAGAAGAAGCTTCCCAAATCTTATTCCACGAAGCTACGGGAGCGCCCTCGCAAGTGGCTGCTTGGAAAGGCAACGGACTATTATCCAAAAGTTGTTCTGGATTGGGAATCGCTGCTGTTTTCGTACGTGTTCTGGGATGATTCTGTTGCCAACGCCATGTTCCGGCTGTTACAGGGCAAGGTGATCCTGCTGGAGTGGCTTGACGCCAAGCTGGACAAGCTGGACAAGGACGAGAAGCAGGCGACAGCAGCACTGCAGGACAAGAGCGACGACGACAAGAAGGAGGAGACAGCAGCGCTGCAGGACAAGAGCGACGAAGACAAGAAGGAGGAGACAGCAGCGCTGCAGGACAAGAGCGACGACGACAAGAAGGAGGAGACAGCAGCTCTGCTGCGCAACATTATGCAGCACATTGCTTGCGCGTACTTCTAAATGGAGTGCGCTGCGTGTGGTTGTGTGTGTGTGTGTGTGGCATGGACAGAGTGGGAAAGTGCGCGCGCACGTGTGTGTATGAGTGCGAGAAGGTTCATGTGTGTGCGTTGTTTGAATGGATATGCGTGCGGGTGTGTGTGTGTGTTGTGGGGCTGGAGACGATGATGGTTGCTTCCCTCTTTAAAGCGACCCTTGAGTAGTGTGATGTTCGTGTTTTGTGTGTGAATTGTGATGCATTAAATGGCCCTGAATCCTCGTACACAATCAACCACACACGCAACAACAACAACAACAACAACAACAACAACAACAACAACAACAACAACAACAACAACAACAACAACAACAAGACTCACAACAACAACTTCAACAACAACTTGTCACCGTCACATATCTGTCTGTCTCTGTAGTGTTCTTCTGTTCTTTCTTTCTTTGACTCGCCTACTAGTACTCGCTGAAGTCTTGCACTGTTGTTTGACTTGAGACTGGTTGCCTTGCTTGCAAGTTGCTCGACGACCGTGGTTTTGCCAATTGCAATCCTCAGCGTCGCAATTGGCAAGTGCGCTCCAATGAAAATATGGATGAAGCAGTCGAGAGACAGGTTGGTTTGGATGGACGTGGATGGTTGTTGTCCCTCCCCCCACCCCCTCCCTCATTCCTGTCCCTCATCCTTCTCTGCCTCACATGCTTCCTGCTTCTGCCTTTCGCGCGATCCATTAGCTGTGGACCAACCGCGTTCCCATCGCGTTCAAGCTTTCTGAAGCAGATGAGCCGCGGCATGGCGCATCCAGCAAGCCCCGGCGCACGGACACCACTTGCTACGTACGTACACATGAAACACAACACAACAGTGGGATGCTGTGTTTGCAGGTGCATCTCGCAGCAAATGCACCCCATACTCCATCATCCACCTCCCCTCCCTCATGTCTCCCTGATGGCTCCACCACCCTGAACTTGCACCTATTTGTGCACACATTGTTTACCCTTGCACTGTCGTGCTGCTGTGTTGTTGATTGGCAGATGATGGTGCCGCGCATGGCATACCTCCCGTTTGCGAGTGAAGCGCTCGCATCCTTCTTCAGCATTGACATGCTGGAAATCATTGGCCCTGACGGCTCCCACCAACCATCATCGCTTCAAGCCAGGTGTGTGTGTGTGTGTGTGTGTGTATGTTTGTGTGTGTGTGTGTGTGTGTGTGTGTGTGTGTGTGTGTGTGTGTGTGTGTGTGTGTGTGTGTGTGTGTGTGTGTGCTCTGTCCATCTTTTTGCCTCCCGCCTACATTGTGCACGGTTGATTGCATATACCCGTCACTTTGCCAGAATCACCTGAATCTGCTCCTCTGCTTGGCCAAGCCACTCCTCATTCACCTTCTGCACGAACACACAATGCTTGCCCCTGGTCTCGTCAGCGAGCTGGAAGCGCAGGTCAAGGAGCAGCAGCCAAAGGTCCTCTGGTTCGAGTTCAAGGGATACCCGCTCAAATGGTGCACATACGTGTGTGTGTGTGTGTGTGTGTGTGTGTGTGTGTGTGTGATGTGACGTGATGTGCACATGCTTTCTTGCGTATATATGCGTCTGCCCTCTGCCTCCATGTGTCTCCCTTGTTGACAGCCGGTGTGCAGCCGTTCACCGCCATCGATGCGCCCGTCACATACACATGCTGATATGCAAACGTGTACATGTTACATCGCGTGGGCAGGCACGTGCCGGTTGGTGTTCTGTTTGACGCCCTCACCGGCGACATTGACGATGTCGGCCGCCCCTGGGAAATCACCGTCCACACAAAGGTGGGGGAGGCATGTAACTGCGTGCGGTGTGTGCGGTGTGTGCGTGTGTGTCTGTGTGTGTCTGTGTGTGCGTGTGTTTGTTTGTCTGTGTGTGTGTGCTTGTTTGTCTATCCATCTATCAACACCATCATCATCATCATCATCGCCATCACATCGTATTCCCCAATGCGTTTGTAACGCAACGCCAGAACTTCCCCGCCAAAGCGCTGCTGCCATATTCCACCATTGAAGACCTGCAGAGACACTTCCTCTGCAGGTTTGTGTGTGTGTGTGTGTGTGTACGTACTTGAATGTATGTGTGTGTGTGTGTGTGTGTGTGTGTGTGTGTACGTACTTGAATGTATGTGTGTGTGTGTGTGTGTGTGTGTGTGTGTGTGTACGTACGTACTTGAATGTGTGTGTGTGTGCGTGGTCGATGCATCGTTTGGATGGCTGGATGGTGTATGTGCATTCGTTCGCATGCATACGTGGGAGAGTGTGTGAAATTCCATGGCTCTTCTCACGTGTGAGTGCTGTTGTGTATCGTGTGACGATTGCTCGCTGCTGCTTGGCAGGCTGAAAGAAGCGTGCTTCATCAAGGTTCGCGCGCACACGCACACACACACACACGTGCATGCACATCCTCGCACACGCACACACACACACACACACACGTGCATGCACATCCTCGCACATGCACAACATGCACATTCAACTGACCCACACCTTCACTCCTTCCCTCCTTCACAGTTTCACTCACTCATTGCCCCACTTCACTCACTCCCTTGTTCACTGGCCCAAACAAACACACGACCGCCCCAACAGCAAGGGACACTCAACCTGGATGAACTCGGCGATGTGCAGACGCTGAAGCGGCTCTGGTCCGGCCTCCTCTATGGTACGCACGCACTCACACACTCCCTCTCACACACACACACTCACTCACTCACTCACTCACTCACTCACTCACTCACTCACTCACTCACTCACTCACTCACTCACTCACTCACTCACTCACTCACTCACTCACTCACTCACTCACTCACTCACTCACTCACTCACTCACATGCACACATGCGCACTCACTCACTCACTCACTCACTCACTCACTCACTCACTCACTCACTCACTCACTCACTCACTCACTCACTCACTCACTCACTCACTCACTCACTCACTCACTCACTCACTCACTCACTCACTCACTCAACCACTCACCACCATACTACGCACGCACATGCCCCCGGGTGCAGACAACTACAAC